CTGAGGCTGAACCCGGACAAGACGGAAGTTCTGAGGGTGGGGGGGCCCGTGGTTGGTGGCTTGGGTGGCTCTCTCTCCTTTGGGGGGGCGGCCCTGGCTCCAGCGAGTGGGGTCCCCAGCTTGGGCATACATCTGGACCCGGCGCTCACCATGGAAACACGGGTGGCATCGGTTGTCCGCTCCGCCTTTTTCCATCTTTGGCGGATTGCCTGGCTGCGGCCCTACCTCGACACGGGGGCTCTCACTACCTTGGTGCACGCGCTCGTAATCTCAAGATTAGACCACTGCAATGCGCTCTACGTGGGACTGCCTTTGAGGTTGATACAGAAACTCCAGATGGTGCAGAACGCAGCGGCCAGACTCCTTACGGGAGGGAGGAAATACCATCATATTACTCCTATACTGGCCAGATTGCATTGGCTGCCCATTCATTTCCGTATCGAATTCAAAGTTTTAATGCTCACTTATAAGGCCCTAAACGGTTTGGGACCTCGATACTTGGCGGAACGCCTTCCTCCACCAAGATCTACCTGGATCACCCGCGCGAGCCAGGAGGTGAGGCTGAGGAGCCTCACGCCGAGGGAGGCTCGGAGGGAAAAGACTCGAAACCGGGCCTTCTCGGCGATGGCTCCTTGCCTCTGGAACAAACCTTAATTTAACTTTTTCTTTTTCTTATCTATCATTTATTATTTTAGTATGTTTGTTAATAATGGATGTTCATGGATTCATCTTGTTTTAATTGTATTTGTTCTGTTGTCAGCCGCTCAGAGTGGTATAATTATACCAGATGGGTGGGATATTTAAGTTAATTTAATTTCTTTAATTTAACTTTTTCTTTTTCTTATCTATCATTTATTATTTTAGTATGTTTGTTAATAATGGATGTTCATGGATTCATCTTGTTTTAATTGTATTTGTTCTGTTGTCAGCCGCTCAGAGTGGTATAATTATACCAGATGGGTGGGATATAAATCAAATAAATAAATAAATAATGAGCTGTGCCTCTAAGTCCTACCCTACATCTCAGCTTCCACTCCAAGAACAAGCTGAAACGCTCAAACGCAGCACAGGAGATGGAACAACCCATAGGCAGAGCTCAATCTATGTAGTAAAAACCATGAAAATGAAAACCCAACAAGTCAAAATCTTGGGACTGAACTGGGAGAATACAAAAAGCTGATTTAATGTCACATTTCACAAGCTCTGCCCCAATGGTGCACCTATGACCTATGTGCACTGCCTTGTTGAATGCAGTGTACCGCACTGTGCACAATTAAGTGGGAATGGCGTCATTTACTGACTCTCCCTCCGGATACAACAAATGGTGAATAAGCCTGAATTGGCCTTGACTGTTTTTGAGTAGTACCCCTAGTGGGGAAACCCATAAATTATCCATTGGGGGGGTGCTTGAAAGGACTTAGCACCTGGCCTTCCCTGACTTCTTTGTCAATTTTTTAAAAACTATGTCCTCCATCCCTTTGACCGACTTTAGGTTCTGGGCAAAGAACGCCCTGCTTTCTCCAACAGCTGAGATCCTAAAACTGTCCTTAAAAACACCTAGCAGGTATGCCACATCTATCTTTCTTGGATAATCCTGTAGCCAGGCTTCCAACACCTCAACCTAATTGGGCTGGGTTGCTTTAGCAGAGTGGCCTCCTCCTCCATTTGCCTTCCTGTTGCCACTGGCCTCCTTATTGTCAGTCTGTGTCCGTGCTCTAAAACACATTGTGCTGGGGTGCTGGCCCCTGCACGCTGAGCATTCATGCCTGTATTTGCAGGATTTACACAAGCATGTGCCTTTCAAATTGAAGTCCCACAGAGCAGGTGGGGTGGAACCGCCTGCCCCCATGCCAGCAGGGGGAGTCAAATTCTGGCCAGCCTTGTGAATAAGATGCCCACTGTCAAACCTATCATCTGTATTTGGTCTGGCAGGTGTCAAAAACTGTAGCCAAAGTCCTGGTGGGGACTCATTCCAGTGCAAATTCAGCTCTATCACACTTCTCATACAGAATGGATCATCGTAAAGAAGCCATGCATGCCCAGCAAAATTCATGTAAGCTCTGTAAATCAAGTCAAGGTATTGAACCACTGACTGTGCCCTCTGAGGCTGGGCCTTTACTACTAAACTGAAATAGATTACAAAGCCTGGCAGTTGCTCCAGGTCCTCTCTGGTCTGTGCTTCCTACACCTCTCTTTCTCCTTCTCATCCTCTTTTTCCAACTCCTTGCTATCCACTTTTCTGTTAAGGAGCTTGAATAAATCTATGTATTTTTCCTCTCCATATTTTCTGCGTAGTGCCCGGAACAAGATGGTCTCCTAATTGCATGGCGTAATCACCAAAGGGCAAAGCCTTTAAGGGACTAAATTGTATTCCGTGTCAGGCACTGATGGGTAGTTCCAAATCCCAACCCCAGCTGTTACATCAAGTGGTGCTGGGAATGTAACCCTGGAACTATGTCGGTGGCCCTGACATCCATGATATGCTGTGGATGGACATGCTTCCTCCAACATCACCACCCCAAGGTCTTCCTCATCGCTTTGGCACTGAAGTGTTGCCATGACTGGATCTGGAGCTCTTTGTGATGTCCCTGGTGTAGCCTGCTGATCAGCCTCTAAAGCAGCAAAGCGAGACATTAAATCTTCTACCAGGGCTTTAAGCTTCATCCTTTTATGGCTCTTAGTTTCCCTGACTGAGCAGTGAGGCTCCTAAATGCTCACCTTTGGACTGCCCTTTCTCAAGGGCCATAATTTTTGCCTGCAGTTGCTTCCATATTGGCCAGGTCTCCTCATCTGAGTGGGGGCTGCAAGACAAAATCAAGGGCTTTAAACGGCTCCAATAGGTTTCTGAATGGGGGGAGTAAACTGCCACCTAAAGCTCTCCCCCGTCTTCCCGTTCAATTCCTTTTCCTCCTCTTTCTTTTTACTCACTCCTATCTATAATAATGTATTTTATTTTATTATATTTTATGGATTGATTTTGTATGTAATTTAGAAAACATTTTGTATTTATTATCCTTACTGCTTATGGATGTGTGTGTGTGTATGTGTGTGTGTGTGTGTGTGTGTGTGTGTGTGTGTGTGATATCAATTCAACTTAAGAGTTGAACTAGAACATGGATTCCTTTAATGTGCCTTTTCCTTTTCTTTTAAAAAAAATTATAGTAAAAAATCTTGTTCCACTCTCTTTTAATTAAACCCGATGATAAATACATGATCTTTTCAAACTGTGGGGACACTGATGCAATTCCCCTTCCAAATCCAGAGCAGGCTTTGAAACAGCATCATAGGGTATCCTCGAAGCAGCACACCCTTCTATCTATCTCAATTGCAAGCCTCGAAAGAGGCCAATGGGAGGGGGGAGCACTCTTTAAATAGGGCGCACCTTCCTCCTCCCCTCCTGGGTCATGCCAGTAAGACTCCAGTGTCTCGCGATATCCTGGGAGGGCAGCAATGAAGCTCCTCGCTGCCGAAGCGCGCTCAGCAGTGGAGCTGACATTAGCAGGCAATATTAAAGTAAAGATCAATAAGTATACAAAAATTTTCAAAACATCACTCTGAGAAGTGGAAAACACAAAAATGAAAAGCACAAGTAGTACTAAAAATCCAGTCAAACAGTAATGCATAATAATCTATCTAGAATTCACACACAGGTAGCTGGTTACTGAGGCAAGGCTTACCTGAAAAGAAAGGTCTTTGTCTGCTTGCGGAAGGACAGCAAAGAGGGTCCAGTCTGGTCTCCTGTGGGAGGGAGTTCCAAAGTCTGGGAGCAGCCACAGAGAAGGCTCTCTCCTGTGTCCCCATCAGCTAGACCTATGAAGGTTGACGTTTCCTGACACTTTCCATCGGCAACCCCACATAGAGCGTATTACAGTAATCCAGCCAGGAAGTAACTAGGGCATGTATCACAGTGGCCAGATCAGATCTCTCAAGAAATGGACGTAGCTGGTGCAGTAGTTTTAATTGTCCTAATGCACTTCTGGCCGCTCCTGAGACCTGGACACCCAATTTCAGGGATGAATCCCTGAACCTGGATCTTAGTCCAAGCTAAGCTTGGGAACCACTGACTTATATGAAGTATTTTATAGTTACATGTCATTGTATTGTGAACTATTCTGGATCTCTTTGGAGAGAAAATTATTGTTTTAGAAACAACAAAAAATGAATAAATAAAAGGAGAGTATGGATCATGCATGAAGCCTGCAGACTGATTTGCAGTTCTCTTTCTGTAGTGTGATGGAGGTTGTGGTGGAATATAAAACCCATAGTATTTTCCACATTTTCCCAGTGTAGTCACAGCTATTTGTGAACTATTCTGGATCTCTTTGGAGAGAAAATTATTGTTTTAGAAACAACAAAAAATGAATAAATAAAAGGAGAGTATGGATCATGCATGAAGCCTGCAGACTGATTTGCAGTTCTCTTTCTGTAGTGTGATGGAGGTTGTGGTGGAATATAAAACCCATAGTATTTTCCACATTTTCCCAGTGTAGTCACAGCTATACTGCATGGAATTTGTACAAAAACACTGATTTTCTCTCTCTCCTTTACGATAATGTCTAGATCAGAAGCAACTCAAGGGAGCCTTGGGGGCTGTCAAAATCAAAATCTGCACCAGGTAAGAATGTTGAGCTTTAATGACAAGGCAAATCTAACAAAGGACTAAATCCTGCATGGAAAATGGGTTGGGATCAGATGTCCTAAGTATCAATTCAAAGCATAATGTTACATTTTATCTGAAGATATATTAAAGGACAGAAGTTAAAAACAAAGAATCACATGACCATGAAATCTTTCGAGAGCGTTAAGATGAGCTTCAAAAACAATGCTATCTTATCTAAGTCAGGAAGACTAGATGAAGTGCCTTTAACTCTTCCTCAGTAGACTCCAAATAGTCCAATTCTTAGCCAATAACAGCATATCTACTGCAAAACCACTTTCTAAAAAGCGATCTGGTGATTTGCTTTGTACCCAGGACAAGTGTCAAAATTTAGCAAGTTAGTCGTTGGCTCTCTACTCGAGCAGTAACTCCTAATTTTTACGATAACATTTAATATTATGCATCTAACTGATGTGCAACATACAGTGGTGCCTCGCATAGCGAGGTTAATCCGTTCCGGATTAACCTTCGCTATAGCGAAACATCGCTGAACAGGACAGGGAAAGCCACTGGAACGCATTAAACATCGTTTAATGCATTCCAAAAGGCTCCTTTACTCACCGTTCAGTGAGGTTTCCTATGGCCGGCAGCCATTTTCGCGCCCTCGTTAAGCAAGGGGAGGGCGCGAAAACGCTGCGCGCGGCCATTTTGGGGCTTCCGGTGGCCATTTTGTCCGCCAAACAGCTGATCGTCGGAGCTTCGTTTTGCGAAGATCTGTAAGCGAAACGCTTACCGATCTTCACAAAGCGAATTTCTCCCTATCTAAAGCTCGTTGAGCGATCGCATTAGCGATCCAAAAAAACGGATCGCTATGCGATTTCGTCGTTATATGGTGCGCTCGTTAAGCGAGGCACCACTGTACATGATTCAAAACTTGTTGCTATTTTTATGAAAGCTTTAGAGATGAATCTGGATTATAATGGGATTGCTTTTGACTAAGATCAAGTGTAGTGTTGTGTAGATTTGCAGGTCAGTTGAATATATTCTGCTCTCAAAGGACAATATTTGAAGAGCAATGGTTTCTTTGGAAGTTGAATGATCATCATCCTATTTTTGGGTCTGTGTGCATTTTCTTGTTTTCAGGGTGTTGGGTTTGTGGGTGTATTTTTGGTGGGTGAGGCAAAGGCTTTCATCTGTTCCACCTAAACCAGGGAAGGGCCTCAAGTCCACATGTTTCTCTTCATTGTTCTAGGCTTGAGTGCAACTCTCATCTCTCCTTATCATTAGCTATGCTGCCTGGGGCCAGAGGGACTGCAGTTCAATAAGAACTGGAGGACTACCTGTCCCCCACCTACGCCCTGGCCTAGGGGATCCTTATTTACAACATGCATGCTAATTAAGAGTGAAAGTGAAGGAGGGAGATGGGACTTTTAGCAGCAGAAGGTGTTTTTTTTAACTGTGATGCCAGATATCCTATTTGCATTATGCACCTACATGAAAGAAAACTATATGCTAGGTCTTCAGCTTGACTCCCCTAATCAAACTCTCTTCATACCTGAACACAAGTTGCCAACCTTGAAACAACAACAACAACATAATCCTGCCTCCAAACTTCATCTCCTCACCTGGATCCATGAGTGTTTTGTAAATGTCTATAGAATTGCTCCAGGGTTTAGGATCAAATGTCATAATGATACCGTTTGCTGATAGCATCCTAGATCTCACTTTTCACCTTTGACGCTAAAAGACTTTGCAAGCACAGAGAACAAAATTGAGAAGACTAAAACCGAATCCATGTCTAACCTGCTTCTTTTGCCACTTTTTCTCTGTCTCCCTAATTTTAGGTATCTTGGTGAGGTTGATGCCACGATGACAATCATTGATGTTTCCATGCTCACTGGTTTTGCCCCTGATATTGATGAACTTAAGAAGGTAAGTGATGCTGGATTCTAGAAATGAAATCTGCTAAAATTCTCCCTTGAGAGTTTGGACTAGAAAATCCTCTGCAGTGAAAAGACTTCAACCATAAAAATTAGAACTTCAGACAGAATAAAAAAACCCCCACCAATTCTCCTGCTGTGATGTACACTAAAGAGAATGGCTGTTTTCAGGTTTCTTATGTACTGCTAGCACCTTTTATTATCGTAATAAGTATAAATTTCTGTAGGCAAAAATAAAATGTCTCTTGCCTGAAGAAGCTTATAATGAAAAATAGCCTACAGGGGGAAAGACAGTGAAGATGATGCACAGGGAATAAATGCAGTTAGATACAGTTAAAATTTGGTAACTATCGGAAATGCAGAGTGAGGAACAATGCAAAAGCAAAGTGTACTGCTAAATACACCATCTCCATAGTCCTTAAAACATTCTCTGCATGGTCTACAATTTAAATTATGCAGGCTACACACTGACCTCAGAAGGATGGAAGGTTGAGTCAACCTGAGGCAGCTACCTGAGCCTGGAATCAAACTCAGGTTGGGAGCAGACTCTTCCCTGCAATATTTCAGTTTAACCACTGCATCATGTGGAAGAAACTAAAGGCCACATGGACAATATTATTTTTAAGGACAGAGATTAAGGAAGAGATGCTGCCCAAAGTGATCAAAGAAACTCTCCTTCACCTTTTGCAAAATAACCTGCTTTGTTTGGTGGTTGGCTATTGGGAGGTAAACATGAGCCTCATTAGCAAGCTTTGACAGCTCAAGGAACTGCATCCCTAAAAGGGGGGGATGCTATCAGCTTCTAAATGCAATCTTATCATCAAATGTAATTTGAGCAGCCAGTCTTTTTTATGTGTGTGTTGTTTTCTCAAGGTAACCAGACGAAATAGGTTGTTCTCTTTTACGCTTGTTAACCAAATCGTGAAACAGTGTTTTCTCTTTTCTATATAGAAAAGGATGTGTATACTTTTATAGAGAAATAGAGAAACTATTCTCAATGCAATACAAAGGGGTGGTTTCCCCCTGTCTTATTAAAGGTCACATTTCAAGTTCTGTTAAATTTCTTGGGTTAAAGTCATTGGCCCTAACCCAGCTGCAGGTCTCATGTATAGAAGGTCCGCTGATTCACTGGAATTTATATGTGTTGTCTTACTGTTCAGAAGTGATTTTAATTTGTACTAACAGTTGAACAAGTTTCTTACAAGTCCTAATGTTAACTTAAAGCTTAGAGGGCAACTACATTAGTTTTAAAAAAAGCAAAAGCACTACAGGTTTGGGGTGGACTGATTTGCATTTTTCTATTGATCACACGACACAAGGGGGAAGGTAAATCAGTCCAGGATTCTGCCCTCACCCCCAAGATCTGTAGTTATCTTCCCCACAAGGGAGCCTTTTGCTTTTCAGAAACATGAATCCTTCAGACTGGATCAGGTGTGCGATTGCTTGAACCAAAGCAGAATGGGAGGACGAGTTGAGTGTACACAAACACACACACATAGCAGTGCTTTGTCAAAGCATCTTTCCCCTCACTTCGTGTCTTAGGAGCCACGTATACACACACACACACACAAGCAGCACCAGCACACATAAGGGCCAAAGCCTCTTTCTTAAGAAGTGTCTTGGGTACTCATCTCTCTCTCTCTCTCTCTCTTGGTTTGTTTAACAAGTTAAGAAGGAAGCTTGTCTCTGTTGGCAAGTGTTTTGTTTAATGAAATATCTATGTGAAGTAGAAGTAGAAAGCCTTTTTAAATATTTGCCAGGCAGTTCTTTGTAAGAGTTCCACCTGTACCGCCAGAAGCAGAAATCTAAGCAAACAGAAAAAAGGGGGGATTCCCATTTTCTGTGCAGGCAGTTAAATCTCACAGACCAAATTCCCTGGTGTGACCTCACAACAAATGAATGTGAGTTAATTCACATTTCCCTCACTGTGTAGGAACACCTTAGTAAGAATGTGGTTGATGCCAGGTCACGCGTACTACTCCTGACAAATGCACCTGACATTATAAAACGTCTTTAGGACTCCTTTGAAGTCCCTGTGAGGCACAGCCTTGAGCAGGTGCCTCCCAAGGGGCTTTGGACTGCAGTGCAGACAAAATGTAAAGACAACTCCGCTTCTCATTTCCTTTCAACGTTTCAGCTTTCTGAGGGAGTCGACAGATACATCTCCAAGTTTGAAGTTGACAAAGTTATGACTGAAAGAGGGAACCTCATCATTTACTTGGACAAGGTAAGAGGGCTTTAGAGGGGTCCCTTGTGCTTGCTCACACAGTTGCATCTATTCTGGGTTCCTCTAGTATTTTTTGTATTTAAGATTTGAAGAGACCAACCCAACATTTGCATCCACAGACTTTGCTGCTGGGTGCATTGGGATGCACTGGGACATCTTAATCTCGGCTGTCTGCACACATCCAGAATTGCTCCCTGATATCTCACTCACAGCACAGATTGCCTTCCCTTTTTGTCTATCCTTTTTAGTCTTTCCCCACCTTAATTCACTCTCTCCTCCCTTCTTTTAACTTCCCATGTTGTGTGGAGGGGTGCATATTGATCAGCAGAAAAACACCCACGTGAAAACATAATCAAAAATACACATCCCCAAAGTAAACAAGTCAGCACATTACTACGATCTACATGATCATTCTCCCATGAGCAGATCCTGCACTAGAGCACAGCAGAGCAAATCACGAAGGAAAAAAAAACACCGCTGCCTCCTTGTGGTCAAGTAAATCCTCCCGGAAAGCTCTGACTCTTTTGACGCTAGTTTCAGCCCCCTGTTGTGTGAACTCCAGGAGGCACTACCAGTATCATGGATGCAAGGAAGGTTGAGCAGTATGAACAGGAAGTAGCTGGCCTGGTTTCAGAGTCAGGGAGTCCCTAGTGTGCATTTGAAGCAAGTGTATCTATGAACTGAAGAAGGTGCAACAAATGCTTATTTGTTAAGAAAGCATTTTCTTTTTTTGAGTTACCCAAAGACATATTTTTCTATGTCTCTGCTTTAAGCCTTATATAAATTGATAGCATTATGTTTCACTATGCTTTTCTTTGTAAAATTGGCTTAAAGCCTGGGATTGGACACACTTTTCTCAGAGTGTGTGTTTGAGATAGTGATCTTCATGACAGTTACACTCTGATTTTTAGCATTATAGAACAGCACAGAAGAGAGAAGCCATGGCTGGTGGACCATTCCTTTCCTTTGAACTCTAAAAATTATAAGAATCCTCTCAGACCCAGTTTGCATATACAACAATCGTTTAGTCGTTAAGTCGTGTCCGACTCTTCGTGACCCCCATGGACCAGAGCACGCCAGACTCTCCTGTCTTCCACTGCCTCCCAGAGTTGGGTCAAATATTCAACAATACTAGAGTTTAATAGTGAGGAGGTGGCCTGGGAATTATAAAGACCTTCATCATGCCCCATTTCCTCCTTCACATAGTTTCTCTTCACCTTTACCAACTTGGTCTCAGCTTGATGTGTGACTATCAGCAACCTAGATTAAATTAAAGCCTGGTCTCAGTTCAGAAGGGGAAATTACTGCATTACCATTCAGTGATTGCTTTTCAATAGTGTACATTATCCCCTGCTTTAGTAGTGAGACCTGATTGGGGATGGACAAATGTAGAATTTTTCAAGCTTGTGGTAGATACAACATATGACTGGAATGTGCCTCTGTAAGTGTAACAGGTTGTCAGTGAGGCTTGACAGACAAACTATGCCATTCCTGCTATGCCCTTAAACCCCATGAACACTGGATCCCTTTGAACAGCTTCTCCAGAGAGAAAGTCATTGTGTTTCTGAAACAATAAAAACAGGATAAAACTCTTGTGGCATCTTTGAGACTGGCAAATGCATTTCAGGCTGAGCTTTTGTAGATTTCAGTCAGCTTCTGTGTCTGAGGAAGTGGATTGTGGCTCATGAAACATTACAATGAGATACATTTCTTAGTTTCAAAGGTGTCACAGGAGCTTTGATTTTGTTGTGATTGAGCTTTTAGAAGCTTGACTGAGCCGACCTGTCCTGCCAAGCCTGGACATCCACCCCGAACTGAACGATGGAAGTATTTCCTTAAGATCGCTCAGAGGAAGGGAAGACTCTTCCCCACTGGAGGTCTGGTAGTCAAAGACTTATCTTCTCTTTTCTCTGATCTTCACAGGTCTCCCACATGGAAGATGAATGCATACAGTTTAAAGCTTTCAAGTATTATGAAGTTGGTCTCGTACAGCCAGGATCAGTCAAGGTGTACAGCTATTATAATCTAGGTAAAGACTCTTGTGAAATCTCTGCAATACTGCTCAAATACTGAAAAGATCAGTTAGGATGTTGCAGAAATTTACTGAACCTCCAAGCCCTAGTTTTTGCTTCCTGTTACAAGTACAGAGCTCAGGAGGGAATCTCTTGGAAATATGGGAAGGGATGAGGGGCCAACTCTGACCCAGTTTCAAAACAGCCTTCAGGTTCTAGCCTGTTTTGCTCTAACCCACCCAGGTATAATTGTCACCCAAGAGCAGGGAATTAGACCAGAAGGACTTGATCCCTGGTTTCCCAAACTCTCTAGCATAGAGAAGAGAGAAACCAGCCATCCTCTGGCAGCTGATCATGGGACACCCACTCTCCCTTTGAGTGTCTGGTTAAAGACCCTTGTTCAGCTAGCTGGCGGCCCTTTGGTTACACAAAGTCAGCTGGATGTGTTTCTAATATTTTCCTGGGATAAATAGTCCATCTGCCTTACTTTGTGCCCTTTCACGGGTTTTCCTTTTGAGATTTCCTACCAACATATGAAACCTGCAGCCTGTGCAGACTTGTCAACGTTCATGAGAAATGAAACTTTTCTTTCCTCTCTTCAGATGAGCAGTGCACCAAATTCTACCATCCAGCCAAAGGAAGTGCCATGCTCAGTAAGATATGCCATGGGGATGTTTGCCGGTGTGCAGAAGGTAAGGTGGGGCGAAGAGATGTTGCTTGTGCTCAACCAAATACATGATATATATATTTCTTTCTGGGGTGTGAGTGTGTGTGTGTTGCCATATAATGTGAGATCACAGAATCATAGAATTGCCGTACATTTGGAAGGGACCTTGGAGGTCTTAGAGTCTAATATCTTTGGTTTATTGGGCTTCATCTGAGATGTTACCAATGTCATCCTTCTACAGTCTGGTCCCCACCAGGTGTCTGGACTACAGCTCAATTCATCCTTGAGTATTGATTGTTCTGGCTGGGGCTGATGGGACTTGTAGTTGAAAGGGCCCAGGTTGGGGGAGGCTGATCTGTGGTCTGGAATGTGGAAAACGCATAAGGCCCCTATTATCTGGGCCAGGGAAAGGCTCAACAAAATTATTAATTTCAATTTGCTCTTTGTTGAAACTCCCCCCCCCCCCCCTTTCATTTTTTAAAAAAATTAGGTTTTACCTCTCA